TACGTGACATGGTCCCTGTCCGCAAAAGGGCGAGCCAATATCAGCTGGTGGTTTGAGTTATGTGCAGAGGTCGTAAAATAAACCTCAACTGATAAGTATATCCTCAGCAGATTCCCCAGCTGCTACATAAAATTTTGAGTTAGTGGCATGTCTCTTAATAATTCTGAGGTTTTTTATGGTGGATGAGAAATAAGCCTTCTACTACACCAGGCGTATCCTGCAACAGCAGACTCCAAGCTTCTCAGAGTCTCCCAGCCCACAGGACTGACCTTTTGGCCAAGGCCAGCTTCTGGAGAGTCAGAGGACAAAGAAGAAACTCTGAAAACTCGCTTCGTCTTTGTCCCTCAAAAGGCCGTGCCTCAGATCTGCGGCAAAATGTCTCAACTGAGGATGTTGAGGTGGTTTTCTTTCTAATATTTCCAAGAATTGGAAGCTTTGCGAACTTTTCATCTCCTGTTTTGTAGAATTTTTTAAAAAGGAGGTTTCTCTTAGCCATGACTCACATTGCATCTGCCTCTTCTCCCAGTAAGCATCTTTTGTTACAGTTTTATAGAACAATTTCTTCAGCAGCAGAGCTGACTTCAGAAGTTTTTTACTCTTTCCTACACCATGCTGCAGTTTACCACCCACTCAGTTCTGAAAAAAACCTCCTGCATGGAGACTACGAGCATAAGATCACTGAAATAGTCCATGTTAAAAAACAGGGTTGTGTTGGGTTTCCTTCTTAAGCAATTCAACTTGGTTCAGTAGTCATGGGGTCAACTTAGCCATGGGGCAGGACATGTGGTCCTGCCCAGTGGTTAAGGGCATTAGCAACATAAGCCAGACTTGCTAGCACAGAATCTATGGGATAACTGGAGACTTCAGAGAGAGCAGAGAGGATTTTCTGGGTCAGTAGTGCAGAGGCAGGTAACTCATTCTTTTATAAGGAACCAGAGTAGGTAAATTGGGGTGGGTAGTGCCTCAAGATTCGTGTCATTGAAATGACTAGAATGGGCAACAGTAAAACCTAGTACTGTTCTTTCTGCTAATTATGTACGTAGTCTGCAATAATAATCCTAATATGATACCGCTTTGGACAGCAGCGCAGTGCTGTGTTCACTGTTGAACAAGGAGATGAGTTCGAGCTTGCAAGCTTGTTAAAGACAGCAGGACTCAAAGTCTCTTCACCATCTACATTTACTGCTCATTTTTGGAGGGTGTATTGGAATCATATGATTGTGCTATCTTTATTTATCTGACTCATTCCTGC